AATCGCATAACAGCAAAATCGCATAACAGCCGAGCATACACCCAGCAGCGCTGCTGATGCCTGAACGGTATGTGGAATGAAGTGGGCGGGCATCGGGAGGCCACTATGGCACGGGGCAAGCACTATGGGCAGTCTATCTGAAGTGTACCTGGCGTATAAGACGACCCCCCACTTGGAGGCATATTTTTCAGGGCCAAAAAATCGTCTTATACGCCGGCAAATACGGTATTTGAAACCTTGCAGATTTGCAATCGTTAGGAATGGCGCCCCCTAGAGATCAACAGTGAAGATACACTATCATTAGTACTATCTGAATATTCATGTTCTCAGCTGAAGTATTACATAACATCTTTATAAAAATTAGTAAAGGGAATGCTGTTTGGGCAAGAGTTTCTATATCCCTTTGTTCAAATGGCTAGGATTTTATTGCCAACCTGTACATGCTTAAGAAACCCTATACTTCTCAAAGGGACTACCTGAAAAAGGTAAGTAATGAAGCAACATACAATTAAGTATTGGTCGCTCTTGAGTTGCTAGAACAGGGGAGTCAAACCCAGGTACACAGAGGAGCCAGGAAATCACTGTAGATGAATGAAGCAGTCACCAAGGCCTGCTGTGCCAAGTTTTCTGATTTACAAAGAAGCAAGAATTTTATGTGAAAGCCAGATTATGTGAAATTTATAGAGATTATGTGAAACCTCTCGTATTTTCAACATTGGTAGCTAGTATCAGACCATGCTTCCTCCCTATTCCCTAGAACTGCCTCTGAGTTTTGAATTCTGTATCATTAGATCATATCACTCATTATACTCTTTTCGTGTTTGTTGAGAGAGAGAGAGAAAGAGAGAAAGAGAGAGAGAGAGAGAGAGAGAGAGAGAGAGAGAGAGAGAGTCATCAATGAGAGTGAAGCATGGATTGGCTGCCACTTGCACATCCTTCTGGGGATCAAGCCCAAAACCAGTGCCCTGACTGGGAATTGAACTTGGTGCATGGGACATCCCTCAACCGAGAGCCACACTGGCCAAGCATCATTCATTATACTCTTCACTTTTGCTGTCATCTTCTACTACCCCCACCTCAATTCCAACTCCTCATTTTTAGACAATATAGCTCCTTCTCATTGTAATTATCTTCAATACTAATCCTGTCTTAATTCTTGGTGACTTAAAATATATGTAGAATAGATTATGATCTTTCCAATACTTTGGACTCTCAGTTCCTTGACTCTTCTCCTTCAATGATTTTATCCTCCACCCAATTTCAGTCACTCACTCGCATGAACAATCCCCTAGAACTTGTCATTGTCAATAACTGCACCGCATCCATACTTTATAAATCCACCCTCTGCCCACACCACTTGCACTTGTAGTGCATTCTCTCTAGTACTCTAACATCAATAATCCTTCATTCTCACCAGAATATCAATCCCAAATCTCTTTAACATATATTTTTATTGATTTTCGAGAGGAAGGGAGAGGGAGAGAGAGAAGAAACATCAATGATGAGAGAGAATCATTGATTGGCTGCCTCCTGCATGCTCCCTATTGGGGATCAAGCCCATAACCTGGGCATGTGCCCTGACTGGGAAAAGAACTGTGTGGTTCATAGGTCGCGCTCAAGCACTGAGCCATGCTGGCTGGATATATTTTTATTGATTTTCGAGAGGAAGGGAGAGGGAGAGAGAGAAGAAACATCAATGATGAGAGAGAATCATTGATTGGCTGCCTCCTGCATGCTCCCTATTGGGGATCAAGCCCATAACCTGGGCATGTGCCCTGACTGGGAAAAGAACTGTGACTTCCTGGTTCATAGGTTGATGCTTAAACACTTAGCCACACTGGCTGTGTGCCAATCCAAAGTCTTGCCATCCCATCTCTGGCCCCAACCTCTTGAAGCCTTCATTTTTGTCCTTATCCATAATGTTCACACGCAATTATTATAACCTCTCCTTTGCTATGCTCTCCATTTTCATGCTCCTCGCTCACTTTATTGAACTCTCTTGACCAATCTACCCTCCTGATTAAATCTAATTTTCTAATTTTTGGCTCTGCACCCATGTTAGGGGGTGGAATCCAAACCCTGTTAATTGGATTCAGTTTAAAATCAAAGCCATGACTCTCAAATTGGTCCTTGATGCTGCCAAGCAGTTACATGATGTACCTTTAGTCCATTTACTCTTCTGGTCTCCTTGACAACTGTTTTATGTCTTCTATTCTCAATTCACATAATCTTCTCCCAAATCTTCAGGTTCTGCTGATGATCTTGAGAGTATTTCTTGAGAATACTGATACATCAGGAGAAAACATCCACAGGATCTCACTACCATGTCCATTTACCTACCAGCATTTGTGCCAATATACATTCTCCCCTCTTTTCCAAGACTGATTTACCTAGGCTCTTATCTAAGTCTAATATCTTCACTTGTGCACGAGGTCCTATCTCTTGTCCCTGCTCACAGACATCAAGGGCAGCTGTTTCACTCTCTGCCATATAATCAATATCTCATTCTTTGCTGATCAATTCCATCAGCATACAAATATGATGTTATTTCTTCTCACCTTAAAACAAAAACACACCTCTTTGATGCTACTTTCCTCTTCTATCAACCATCCTATTTCTTTGTTCCCTTTTGTAGTGAAGTGTTGAATATTCTTACTGTCTCTAATTTTTCTCCTCTGCTCTTCTCTTAACTCACTCTAAGTAGAACCACCACCACTCACCTTACTCCACTGAAATTGCTCTCTTCAGGGTCACCTATGTCCACATCATTGCTAAATGTAATAGTTTTCAGTCTCCATCTTACTTGACCTGTTAGTAAATTTTGACACTGTTGACCACCACCTCCTTCTTGGACACTTTCTTCATTTGTCTTCCACATTCTCATACATTTCCACTTACTTCACTAGTCACTCTTCAACTTTCTTTATTGTTCCTCTTCTTCCAGGGCTCTGTCCATGGATCTTCTATCTATACTCACTCCCTTGGTGATCTCAACCAGTGCTGAGGCTTTACTAGTAAATACCATTCACCTACTGAGAACTGCCATATATGTTTAACCCAGATCTGTCTGTTGAACTCCAGACTCATGTCCAAAATTGAACTCTTGATGATGCCTCCTGAATCTACTTTTACTCACACTTCCCCCCTCTAGATTACTCTGTTCTTCCAGTTGCCCGAACCAAAACCTGTAGTCACCCTTGACTCCTACATGTCTTCACAGCCCACGTTCAATCCACCAGCAAATCCTACTGATTCTAATTCAGACTGTATCTAGAATTTGACACTTTTCCCCACCTGCACTGCTGCCACCCCAGGCTTGAGTCATCATGCCTTGTCTGATTGCTGTAGTTGTCCCCTAACTAAAAGTAGCTTTCACTATTGCTTCCTACAGGCTTTCTTCAACACTGCATCCGGATTGACCCTTTTAAATCAAATTTGATTATGTCTCTCCTCTGTTCAAAAACCAACACTGGCTTCT